ACTTGGCGCATTTTTTCGAATACTAAGCTAAATGGTTAAGTGGACCTATTACGCACGTGAATGTGGATTCAGTTTCGTATAGTTGGGATATTAGTCAGTATTTTATATGCAGATGGACGTGTTCGACTGCGCGCAGAGGTATGCAAGGGAGAACACCCCATTGATCGTCATCACTGGAAAGGATTATGGATCTGGATCTAGCAGAGATTGGGCAGCTAAAGGACCATACCTACTTGTAAGTTAACATCAGTACATGCACTATGTATAGGTATGACTCATTTAAGAATCCACAATTACGCAAAACATGTAACCACGTAACAGTAAATGTGGCTGTCAAATGCAAAATTGTGACACTGTTCCAAAGAAGATGACACCCGCGGAGCCTTGTCAAAACCAAATACGATACTATTGCACCTGTCTTCATGGTTCTATGTTCTATATACTGCAACCGAGAAACAGTACAGTGCAGAGTGATGACGCTGGCGAATGCAGAGATTTAAGCAATAGGTTAAAAAGTCTTTATGCCACTATTTCATGGGTGGCTTCAGTGTTAGTGTGGACTACCTCGATTATTACGTATCTGGTACGCAGTAAGAATTTTGCGCTTGACAGTAATGTTTGTTTCGCAGCAAGGATGTGGAGCTAAGAAACAAAATGAAGTCTCGGAGCTCATTTATCTATAAAACAAACTTTTAAATCAAACTTTTTATTAAACATTCTAATTCTTCATGCATTTATGGCTGTTAAATTGAAACCACATTCGTAGGATTGCCTTGTTTACTGACGTTTCGGCCATCTTGATGGTCGTCAGTAATTATTGCAAGTACAATGTTATAAGTATCATACTAATTTTATTGATGTATACGGCTAAGAGAAATCCACTGACACAGTATACATACTGACGGTACGAACCACAGTAAATACTGAACCTGTGGCTTTCACCAAACTGCATATGAACAATTTGGTGATCTCGCTTCATGGCTAATTTTCGTTGTTTTTGATGAGTAGTAATAAAATATCATAGTCACGCGAGCTTTTAAAACTAAAGGAATAGCTGTCTTTACCTCATGTTGGATTATCAGAATGAAAACCACAGCATAAGTTTCAAATATTACATCAAAATTGATGTAAATTCTCTCTGCTGCTTAGGTGCTGAGAGATCAGTTGCCAGATTTCAAATATGAATTTACCTACCTACCTTAAAGCGGTGTATAATATAAAACTAGCGGCACTGTGAAAATGGCGCAACTGACAATTTTTACGTTTTTTGACGATAGGCAAGAGATTTGTAGAGTTTGGCGGTTTAGAATTACTAATATGGAATTACAGATAACATTCATAATATGACATCTCTGTCAAACAATATTAACGATTTTTAACTTGCCAAAGGCTCTCGACGAGGCGGATATGTATCATTACATCATATGTCTAATAAAGCTATTCAATTCTTTACTGAGGTTATTAGACAAAAACCTCTCTTTCATAGTACTTTACATTATATTATGGAAGCACATAATCACAAATTACGTAGGGCATTCGAGCAGTGATAGCAGAGTCCTTTGAACGTATCCATCGCTCCAACTTGGTGGGCATGGGCATCGTGCCATTGCAATTCCTGCATGGTGAAAATGCCGAAACACTGGGTCTTACTGGTAGGGAGGTATACAATATCGTCATACCAGACGTGAATGACATTAAGCCGGGACAACACATCCAAGTACAGACCAACACCGGCAAACAGTTCCAGGTGAGAAGTGAAGATTATTTATTTTTGTTTATACGTTTCTTCGTTCAGACAAAAACTTCGTAGAAATATAATACTTTTTTGGCGGATATAAATTTTCTTCATTTAATAATGTTTGTGTTCATTCGAATAAATTGCTCATAACATCATTTCAGTTTCCTCATGGTTTTGGTGTTATTGATAGACATATCGCTGAAGTGCCTTTAAAAAAGAATCGCAATAGTATATATCAAAATTTGAGAAATATGATCGTGAAATACATAATTATAAATACGTTAGATTTTTCGGAAGAGTCAGTCATGCAGAAAATATTTTTAAGCAGGGGTAAAGGTATCCCATTTTTAAAATCCGGAATTTTCTCGACAGGTGATTCTGCGTTTCGATACTGAAGTGGATTTGCTATTCTACAAACATGGTGGTATCCTTAACTACATGATTAGGAAGATGCTGAGTGCTATTTAGAACATTCCAATTTACAACTTGTTCAGTTTGGTTTCTGGTGGTGAGGGGCATTTTATATTCATTTGTTTGCTGATTCTCATGATTCATACGTAACTGACGTCTTTACAATATTCCACACGTATAGTCTAGTGATTGTCTAACTTCAACATATTATGTTTCACTGACTTGATTCATCTGACCTAGCAATCTCTTGCAACTTGAATATTATATGTATGTTTTGTTTAATATGTAAAACAACATATTAGAATATGATTGGTATGTTACTTAACAGTTATAACATCAAAACATTATTGAATAAGTGGCTGCCACATGTAACCAGTACGAATATGTTTTACAAAGACCGGGGTTGTTATTTGAGTCATTTTGCCCTGTTGATTTACCGAATATGCATTTCCAATAACTTGAAAGATCATCACTGGACTATAGTTGGGGTATTTACATGTTCACGGAAGTGACTGGTTCGGATAACCTATCACTGTTTGTATTATGCTAGGCAATAATATTGTAGGTGGTCTTTTCAACATTTATCGTAATTAATTGATTATTGAATTTATTGATTCTTGTATTTTATTTAGACTGATTTTTGCGGAATATCATGTTTGATGATTTTTATTGCTTTATTGAATAAAGGTTTCATGCGGTTGTTATTGCTTAAAGGAGTATAAACCAATGACATATTTTATTGTATCCAGGAATCCAGCTATTTGATTTTGATCGATGTTTTATATGTTGATTACGTTTTTATATTATTGCTCGATTTCTCTAGCAATGTACATAGTCTTTGAAACAATAAAATATTCTATTGTTCTAGAGTGTTTTATTTTATAATATGTCCTAGAACAAATGCAACGTCATGTCTATAGCATACGCCAGATCAGCGCATTATCATTGTCACGTATTTAGTGCATAATCAGTACGGAGACCTGTACGATTTCGTCAACTTAGTGAGTTTGATAGGGGCCGTATAGTGGGACTTCCGGAAGCTGGACTTTCTTTTCGGGCAATTGCAGTTAGAGTCCAAAGAAGTGTAGACACTGTGGTTAGGTGTTGTCAGGCATGGCTTCGAGAAGGCCGTACGCAAAGAGCAAGGGGCACTGGACGCCGCCGTAGAACAACAGACCGGGAAGATCGCCGCCTAAGATTATTTGCCTTAAGGGACCGTTTCTGCACTACCAGGTCCATTGCAAATGAATGGTTTGCAGAACACGGAAGACCTATTGGTATGCGAAGTGTTTACCGACGAATGAGAAGTTTTGGCTTGTTTTCATACCGGCCACACTGGGTCCTCCCTTTAACTCGAGAACACCGACGTAATCGCCTTGAGTGGTGCAGACAACGGTCACTCTGGGATCAGGAATGGAACAGTATTGTCTTTAGTGACGAGTCTCGATTTTGTTTAGGCATGCACGATGGTCGTGCCAGGGTTAGAAGGCGACGTGGTGAAAGGAGGAATCCACAGTTTTTTGTTGAAAGACATGTTCATCGCACTGTTGGAGTTATGGTTTGGGGTGCTATAGCTTATGGTTCCAGGTCACCTTTAATCTTCATCAGAGGTAACATGAACGCGCAGCGTTATATCCACGAAGTTCTAGAACCCCATCTTTTACCCTATCTTGACACCCTGGCAGATCCAACTTTCCAACAAGATAATGGCACCTGATCAGAAGCATGCCTAGGCGCGTTGGAGAATGCGTAGCACATCAGGGTGCATCCACACATTATTAAAGGTCAAAGGGCTTTAAAGCAGTGCAATCATTTTGAAATTTTTATCATTTACTTATTATGCTTCATTAAGTACTTATACAAAATTTTATTAAAGTAAAACCATTTAAACTGGGTGTTCGGATTTATATGTCACTTAGTATAATTGTGACAGATTGACCCTCAACCTCACATACGCAAGCGCCGCCTAGCTGCAGCAAAACAGGACATCACTGCCATCACCTTCAGAAGTTTAGATCATTTGGCAAACACCTTGAATGGCATTGGAAGATAGATTAAACGATATAGTCCGGTACAATTGATTTCGCAGGCTTACTATCTAACACCTCGAACGGGAATAGCCGATGTTCCGTAGACTGAAGGATTTATTGCGGTGAAATTCAGCTTTTTCCAAATTTGATCAGCACCTCGGTCGGGTGGAATAAAGGATATAGTCTGGTGAATTTACCTTCGTAAAATTATTTGACAAACACCGCGGATAGGATCAGCCGATGCCGTCGGATGGATTAAAGGATATAGTCTGGTAAAATTAACATCATTGCAAGTTTATTAGCCATTGACCTCGAACAGAAGGATAAAGGATACAGTATAGTGGAATTACCTTTGCAAGTTCACTTTGCTAACATCTCAAATGGGAGTACGGGTCAAAACTAAAATTACACGACTTGGATTGGCGGGTAACCTTTTTTTGGAGACTACCTATGGAGGCATGGAAAACATTAGGCCCCATAGTATATGACTATACCGAAGTAAGATTTCGATGTGTTAGTTTGTTCGAAATTTTTCAGTGCTTCATTGGCTGATATTTCAAATGCCCTCCGAATAAAAAAAGCCACAAAATTATTTTTTTCCGCACACAACAAATTAATGTCAAAAGTTCCTATAAAAAAAGTTCTACCGGCTTTCCTATTAAAATACAGGAGTCTAAGGAACGCCACTGGAAAGTTTTAACAACTTTAAGAGACACCTTAGAATTAATTAAAATATCCTGATAGTGTCCATGGGAAAGATTCAACTCAATCAGATCGCTAAGGAAGAGACTTAAAATGAAATATTGATAAAAAGTTTTTCACACTGCACACAGACTTTCATAATGGCAAAACGATAACATTTTGGCATTTATGAAATTGACCATTTTTGACCAAACTCTGTCGTTTCCATACCATTGCTGTCGATTTATATTGCAGCTACTCCCAATAAGGTCTGACTTAAATCTATAACTCAATCAAGCGATCTGAAAAATTACATCCTGGCGTTTTCGGCAAGATTATTACGTAAACAATCTAAATAATGTTAGAGAAACCGACAAAATGTCACTTGTGGACTAGATAGTTCTTAGTGAGCAAATAGTTCATACCGCTATTGCTCGCTGTGAGCATCATCTATGGGGGAATGACTCAACGATACGCTCAGTGACCAGCTGCAAGTCAGTTCTCCCACCTTCATTGTGGTATATCTCTTTGAAACTGTGACAGAAAAAGATTGGTTGAATAGCAAAGATCACATCTGGATTGGATGGTGATGTGTTGTATTGGTCAGCGTGTGAATAAAATCGTGATAATTGCTATGTGAAAAAATTATTACTGAATATGCTGCCCATGACGTATGTGTATTAGCTGTACCAGTCAGGTTACTTGTGTTGTCCTTTTCACAGTATAGAGCTTACAGCTTAGACCTCCAATAATGCATCTAATCTCTGAAGTAGATGCTATATCATAGTCAAAGATTGTTATCTGAAGCGTCATAACGTTTAGGCAAACATACAACTACAGAACGAGTGCCAATCAAGTAAACTACAGCTAGTTCCAAGTTGACATCTTGTAGAAACCTACACAATGTCGCAAAAAACCTATATAATGTTCAAAAACGACATAAGATAAGTAATACCCCTGCCGGTCCCAATTACAACCGGTTACCAGAATTATTGCATTTCCAAAATGACGAGAGTGATACTCTGGATGCAGTACCAAAATCAATAGAACTGTACTGAAACAAAAGCAGTCCATTTTATCGAGAGTGCATTTGCTTAGCTTAAAAATTAGGATTTTCAAAATGTTACTTTGAGACATTATGATTCAGGGTGCACATTTTTTACTAATTAGTGCTTTGGGCTTAATCTGCTCCTAGCGATCTAAATGAATGACTAAATTGTTTTTTATGGACAAGTTACTAAATATAAAATTCCATCGAATACTACAGCGTCGTTCAGAAGTTATTTGGGAGAAACAATTTTCAGTAGGGGAGCCTCGGAGGACGTTTTTCCTAGGAAGTTGTAGTATTTTTGTGATTTATATACATACGAGAGAGTGACAGGTTATTCTCGTATAGCCCGCGCAGATCACAAAAATGCTATGCGACCAGTTTTACCAACATCACTATTTAAATGGGTATTGGTTACTTTATTTGTGTAACTCAAATTCATTATAGTTTATGACATCTGGAACTTGACACTTAACGATATGTGATGTATTTGTGTATTTGGAAGATATGAATTGGATCAATATTCTCCACAACATTCGCTGCTGTAACGATTCAGGTATGCCCCAGTATCACTCTCTTTATTTATTATTTATTATTTATTTATTTATTTATTTAGTTCAATACACTGCCTGAACGGAACACTCCATTGAACAGGCAGGAAGTACAGCATTGCTCAGCGACAGTTAGAAAATACCTTCGAAGGCTTGTCTTTACTGTAGTGAAGATATCAAGTGCCACGTGCACTTTCACAAATGCCACACATAACATAGAGTGGTGAAAACAACAATAAGTTTGTTCTAGGAACAGGTAAATAGAATAAACTGTTGCTACCATGACGAGTACGCAAATTAGGTATGTGTAAATAAATTTTCTCTAAGAGTGAAGGACAATCATGCTGCATCGAGCAATTACACAAAGAGGTAGCAGCGAATAAATGTCTGCGCTTCGTTAAATTTGGCAGATTGAATCTGCTAATAATATGTCCTTACGAAAGCCCCTTTCAGGATAAACTCTATCTTCTTATACCACAAATACTTCACGAAACGTCGCTGAACTCTCTCAAGATTATGGGAATGTACATCGTAAGCCGGGGTACCAATAATAGAACAATATTCTAGAATAGATCTAACAAAAGCATAATATAGTAAGATTAAAGTTTTAGGATTATGAAATTGTCTGCTGTTTCTGATAACAAAACCAAGATTTTTGTACGCTTTTGCTACAATAGTATTTATCTGCTCGATAAATGTCATTCTGGGGTCAACACAAAACACCTAAATCTTTGAACGAAAAAACTCTCAGGAGCAGCTGTTTCCAATCTCAGAGACAGATTCTATCGGTTCCAACTTGCGTGTTAGCGTCATAGTGCAACATTTTATCAACATTCAAATGCATATTATTAACTTCACACCACTGATGTACAAGGTTCAGATCTGCTTGCAATGCTAAACTGTCATCTAAGGTATTAACACTTCTAAAAATCTTGAGGTCGTCAGCATACAGCAAATACTCACACCGCAAGTCACTTACTATGTCGTTAATGAATATAAGAAATAACAAAGGGCCAAGTACTGAACCCTGGGGTACGCCTGACGTAGCCAACACCGGATATGATTTGTAACCACGATAATCTACACGTAAATGTCTGTTATTAATGTATGACTGGAAAAAATCAAGAAATCTAGACGTTAAAACAATTTTTGACAACTTCTGTATCAAAATACCGTGATCTAAACGGTCGAAAGCTTTGAAAAATCGGTATAGACTACATCAACCTGCCCTCCTTTGTCCAAAACCTCCGCAGCGTATTGCTTGAAACATGCTAAATTACTACATGTTGATCTACCTTTATAAAAACCATGTTGACCAGTACAGATGGTATGACTTACATGAGAAAACACGACCTCTAAAAGTACAAACTCAAAAACTTTCGCCAAATTGCTCAAGATAACAATCGCTCTATAGTTCTCAATATGTGACCTATCGCCTTTCTTAAAAAACTGGAGTAATTTTCGACATTTCCCATTGTCAGAAAGGTTGCAGTTTTTAAAAGACCAATTAAAAGGTATGCTAATGGCAGCAAGTACCGAAGCAGCAATCCTTAAGAAAGAAAGGACGGTATGGAATCTGGAATCTTGCAAAAGATAGGTCAAATTACTTATCAATATTCCTGCAAAGATAGGTATCGTTAGAGTAAAGTGAACTAAGCCGGACCCTTCCCAAACATCGGACTCTTAGCTTCATTACTTTATTCGGGTTTTTACAGGAATTCCGTGGGATTAAGATGGATCTAGGATCGTTTTTCCCAGAACCCGAATACGGCTATTGAATCTGCATATCTGATATTGCATTATTGACTGAAATGTAAGCATGACCAACTGCAGACGGCAATGTTTCGCACTGATTAGTGACTCATCAGTGCGTATATGTCTTAGGTCTAGTCTTGGAGACGGACGTAACGGAAAACCAATAAGAGGGTATTGGCCTTTCGAAAGACTAAAAACACTTGCGCACAAAATGTTTTGAGTTCGGCGAACCATTTGTAGGTGGCGATTGTCATATTTTTATCTACATGCGCATAATATTCCAAAATAGATTTTGACAGTGCAAACAGATTTTCGCTGTGCTGCAATTTTCAATATTAGTCCTAGATATTTACAAGATGCCTTTATTTCTAATATTATAAATAAGAAAGTATGGATGTTTGTTACTCACATCACGCCAAAATGATTGAACGATTCTGGATGAAATTTGGTACATAGATAAAATATAGCCTGGAATAGTACAAGGCTACCTTTTACGCCAGGAAATAACTTTGGAATATTTACTTCACAATGGCACGAGGTATCTGGCGCGAAAGCGCTCAGTTGTTCTACCGAAAAGGGTAAATAGGGCATTTGTATCATTCATTTACTGCATTTCGACAATAGTTTTCTTCGCGTGATCGACTTGATTTAGATTTGTTTGGTGTTTTGCTTTACTTTAAGTACATATATAATACTTTAAATAAATACCTAATGGGCTATTTGACATACAATATTTAATGCTGATAGATTCATTTACCTTTTATGTACTTTACTTAATAATTGATAGCCGGGGAAGGTTATAAGGATGGTTTATCCTCAATTTTGCAATCAACTGTCGTTAACAGATGCTTCATTTCTTCACCAGTTGTTATCAGCGACTTCGTATGGTTTTAAGCTGTTACTACCCGTTACTACGTTTAGTATCTTTGATGGCATTATTATATTAAATTTATTTGCATGTTGAACTTTATCAGTGGCACTACCTACACGTTCCGTGGGTAAAACCGCTGAGCCAAAAAGCGATTACATATAATGAAATTCCTTAAATGATATGATCCTGGGTTCGTGCTTCTCATGGAATTGTTTCACTTAGACGTTTGGTTAAAGTTTTACTGAAGAAAAAAGTTTTTGTTTTTATTCGCGCAAACCGGAGACCTTCCAGTTGCCTAATCCACTATTTTCTTGAAATTTCTTTTTAAGTTCGGAAAGGTTGATGGGAAAAGGAAATGAAGTCCTAGAATGACTGAAGCTATTGATGTCTGAAGGAATAAGGTGGAAGAAGGCATGGATCAGGACACTATATTCTATATCGTTATTTTCAACACGAGCCGCCCATGGTTAATGTGATGCAGTAAATAACTATTCATTATCCAATATTCTGAATTAGTCTAGATTAGATTGTATGTTTGTACTTTATAAACACCGGTTGTGCATTTGTCTGTTTTAAATATTGTGACTGTTGTCTGGTTATTATTGGCTTATGGGTAACATAGAGAGTTTTATTAGGCATCGATTTAGTTAAGTAGGTGATAAGATACCCCAAAATTTGTACGAATATCTATATAGGACATAACTGTCATACTACCTACTTAAATAATCAATTATTGTTATTATAAATTATGAGAAATTTCGTAAAACGACGAGATTTAAATCGATATGAAGATCTGATGATATGAATCTCCACAAAACATATATACTGAGTCTTCATGGAAGATAGAATTATCTCCAGCATATCGTATATTTGGCAACAATGCGATCTCGGGACCGAGTCGGTTGGTCGTGTGCCGACTAGAATCAATCGGAACGGAATGAACGGTTAGCAATAGAATAGACGGTTAGTCTGACGTGCTTATTATACCAAGTGTACAATGGACCTGCCGGAAACATATGTAAAGGGTTTTCACGATGAGAATGAAGTTAGGAAGATGAAGTACTCTACTTTGGGCAGTACTGAACTGAAAGTATCGCAGTTGTCGCTTGGTACTGCAGCTTTTTCTTACTTCTATGGGTAGGTAGTAGATACTTAACTAAGATACGTGGTACTTGCAGTGACGTTTCGTGGGAGACTAGAGGGGGGGGGGGTTTGGTCGGATGGGGCGGCTCGCCGCGAGCTTCCAGTGTAAGGGGGCTAACAAATGTTGAAAAACCATATTTTGTAACTATTAAATAAAGTATTTTAGGTACTGTTGCGTCTTGTAGAACTTCGGATTTCACTTTTTTTCACTTGAAACTTCTAGAGGGTAGTCTGATAGATTAATTTAAATAAAAAAGTGCGGATGAAGCACGCTTTTCAACCATTTTTTTCCCCAAAACACGTATTTTTAGCAGTTATTTCAACCATTATTTACACCGCTATCTGCCATATATGACGACGTTGATGTCTGAGCATGTGTCATATATGAGAGGCGCTTGCCTGCGGTGTTGCCGGATTGGGCTCCGCATTTAGGCAAAATGAAAAGTGGAAAATCTATATACATTTATATTAATCGATGAAACACAAAAAGGAAAAACTGAAATAAACAACAATAGCAAAATAAAAAGCGGTTCTTAATAAGTATAAAGTATTAAGCTAAATCACAATAAATATATAATATAATAAAAAACTAAACATAAAAACAGTGGTAAAGCAAAAAAAAACAATACCATGTAATTATAAAAAACAAAAAACAACAAATAGTAAAGTAAAAAGCTATTCTAAGTGGTAACAAAAAACAAAAAGTAAAAACAGTAGTAAAACGAAACACATTTCCATGTAATTATAAAAAAAAATCTTTTTATTTTGCTGTTTGTTATTTGTTTTTTATGTAAGTATACACAATATTTTAGACACCTTTCTGCATGTAAGTCACCCTGTAAAAGGTTCGCTTGACACTTGGAATGCAAAGAAAGGCACTGCTGGCATACACACTTCAACAACCACTTACGACCCTGCGTATTCGTGAAACCAAGGGCACGCTGAGGCCCTCTTAGTTCATTCTAATATTATTCTAACAGTTGAAAGGTCGAAGTGTCTGTGTGTTGTGATTTTGTGAATATTGTCTATATCAAGCTCAAGTCGATCAATCAAACGGTGAGGGTTTTCACTGAGTATCTTTTATTGTTTTGCTGTACTGCATGTCATGTGTATTTTTTAACCATGGTACCCTTATAATCATGATAATAATTGTAATAAGTCAAAGCTAGTCAGATGAGATATGTTTATCAACAGTTAAAATAAAGTTAATGGTAACTTAGAGTCAAATATCTACAGAGGTGTGACGCCTCCATATCCTGGAGGCTGTTATGTGACCTACAGAGCCGGGTTGCCATCGGGGGAATTACTGCTCGGTTTCCTCTGTCAGGGGAAATGTCGGAGCGTTATGGGTATTGACACAACGGCCATTGGCCGGCGTGGTATCCTGGGTCTGTGTGACCGCCTAGGTTCATCTCGAGGCAATCGCAGGAGTCTGGAAGTATCTCATGGCAAGATGTGTATAGGGATTGTTACTTAAAGCTGTCACGCTGCTCGGTTATCTCTCAATCAGAGGTAACGTCGGTGCTTTTGGGTATTGACACGGTAACGTGATATCCTAGTTTCTGGGCTGCTTTTCGTAACAATCAAATACTTGCATATCTGTCTAAAGCACCAGATTATTAAGCTATCCATAACGGGCGTGACTTCCATGCGGTAGGAAGCTACCGTTCCCCCGTGTAAGGTATTTCCATATCAGGCGTGACTTCCATGCGGTAGGAAGCTACGGTTCTCCCGTGCGAGGTATTATATTTCCATATCAGGCGTGACTTCCATGCGGTACGAAGCTACCGTTCCCCTGGTTATGGACATGGATGTGACTACCATGCGGTAGGATGCTACCGTTCCCCCATGCAATATAATGTAATTTATAATAATATAATTGAGAAATATCATGGCCATTATTATATTGTTTTGTAATCAGTATTGCGACAGCTAATTAACATAATGAATAGACAGTAGAGTTGTGCATGTCATGAGTCGGTAGAATATGGAAGGTACTCAAAAGGTTTTTCCCAAAAATAGGCTTGGCCCCGACAATCCAGTTCTATGGACCGTATCTCTCGCCAAGGAAGAACAACTCCTCTGACGTTAACGTCACCAAGTAAGTGGCTTTAAAACTATACTGACATTGAAGCCCTTGTTAAGTAGTGTATGTACTACTCTCGTAATAAAAGTGAGAAGGTACAGGGTAGTACTTCGAACACTTGTAAGGTGGAATTGTTGTTTTTACGCTTATCGTTATATTTCTATTATCATCTCTTCATATAATCTCTTATATTTATAATTACATGGAATAGTTTTTTTTTTGTTTTACTGCTGTTTTTATTTTTTATAAGTACGTATTGACAATTTATTGATTTTTAGCTTACTATCGTTATTTTTTGTTTAAAGCATCCCACAAACCGGCGCGAAATATTCGCTTTGGCTGCGAAAATTTCGCGGCGATGAATTCGCGATCAGATTAAAACGCGGCGGTTTACGGACAGGCTCAGACTTGTGCGAAGCGAATGCGATTGTTCCAGCGTTTTTATCGCGGCGTATTTCAGTTCGCCTTTGACCGCGTTTTTGACGCCGTTCTTCAAAAATTCGCAATCGCAAAAACGGAATTATTGATAGAAAAGGTGAAAAAGTATCCTCGTTTGTATGATTTGTCGAACGATGAATACAGGAATGTGAGAAAGAAAGACAAGATTTGGATGGAAATAGGAAAAGAATTAAATACAAATGGTATGTACCTAATATTTTTTATTAACTTGTTAAATAATTTACAGTCTACACAAATGTGAAAACGAACATTCTATATATTGGGCATAAGCATATCAGAATTAAAATAATTTACGAATTTGTCACGAGTAGAAAATGCTAGCCTTGCTGCCCGCCGAGGATCATTTGCTATATCAGTAAAAGCTCCAAGCACGGGTTCTGGGGGATCTAAGACTTGAAAATATTTGTCATCGCCACTTTTACTTCGTAAAAAATTGTGTAAAACACATGCCGTACGTACAATTAGAATAGTAGTATCTACTTTAGTTTCTAATGGCCTGTAAAATATTCGCCATTTTTGAGACAAAATACCAAACACATTTTCCAAATAATCGCGGCGAAGTATTCGCAACGAAATTCAGAGCGAAATTCGCAATCTGTTTCGCCTGTTTATTCATACCAAAGCGTCTTATTCGCTCCGCGAACGTGAAGGTTTCGACAGGTTGCGTAGTGCGTACATTTTATTTTTGCCTTTTGCAATGAGCTCGTCTTCAGAAGAAGAGGAGGCACTTCTATTTCTTGCTTTAGAAGAGGAACAAAATGCACGGTAAGTTATGTTTATTTAACGCCATTTGATAGTTGGGTATGTATTAAGTTTAACGAAGTACATAAAACAAATATTTTCAATTTTGTTTAGGAAACGAAGGAAGTGGGTACATGATATTAACTTGGAACGAAATAAATTTGGGGAATACCATACCTTGATGCCACAACTTCGGCTGGATGAACAGCGCTTTTACGCATATTTTAGAATGACTCCAGAGTGTTTCGATGAAATATTGAACTTGGTGAAAGATGAAATACGAAAATCTGACACAAATTATCGTGAAGCTATTTCTCCAGAAGAACGACTTGCTATTACACTCAGGTAAAAAAATTATATGTATTAAAATTAGTAGACTTATCGAATACGAAAACTTCAGGGATCGTGAAATAAATATTTTATTGTAATAATTGGACTACATGTTGCCACTAGGATTAAATGTTGCTAAATAATTCGAGGCAGAATTTGCCTCCTCTGTTGGGTATATTATTGGAGTAAACCCAGTGCCGCTTGGGAAGGACGACATACTACTATCATACATACTTGCAGAATTCTGGGTAGACGCTGAAGACATTTCTTCAATATGTTCAAATTCTTCGTGCGCTATTAATTCGGCTATTTTTAGTTTTATTCGGGCTTGACGCTTTAAGGGAAGTGTTTTCACAGTCTGTGCATGTGCCAAGAAAAGTGAATCAATGGCCTCGTTCTCTTTTTTAGGTTTTTTACCTTCAAAATAATGAATGAGCTGTTGTACAGACGAAGATGGTGGTTCATAGCGTTTTCTGCTCGTTTTATACTTTGGTGTAGTTGCAGTCTGCGGAAAGGTGTGCCCTGGAGTAGTCACTGCTGTAGTGTTCAATGAAGAAGGTGGTGCTGTCTGTGTTGCCGAGGCGTTCTGTGCATCTTCTGCATTTACATCAGCATTTTCATCTTCTTCATGGCCGCGGTCTTCCAAATTTTCGGTTTCTACATTTCCAGCCCTTTCCTGATATATATTTGAGTTAAATTCGGCAGTCTCATAATGTATGAGGTCAATATCTTTCACATTAGACGACGTTTTGGCAAATGCCAAAAAAGGACGGAAAAATTCCATGTAGTCAGCCCACTGCCATTTCTTTATGTTGCCCACTGCTTGGCCGGTCTTTGGTTTGGTAGATTTTATATATTTTGCAAATGTGTCTCTGATATTCCTCCACCTTTTTTTTACTTCATCACCTAAAAACGATTTTTTTTATAGATTCCTTGCCACTGGTGACACCTTCTATACCATTGGGCATAGCTTTCGAGTTGGCTTTACAACAGTGAGTGCAATCGTAACCGAAGTCTGTGAAGCGATATGCAGACATATGGAACATATATATTTACCAGAACCAACAGAGAATATATGGAAAAAATGTGCTGAAGAATTTGAAAATAGATGGGGATTTCCCAATTGCATTGGCAGCGTGGACGGTAAACATGTAACAATCAAGAGACCTAACAACAGTGGCTCCAATTACTGGTGCTATTTACATAAATATTCAATAGTACTTATGGCCATTGTTGGCCCGGACTATAAATTTATATGTGTTGATATTGGTGGTTTCGGAAAAAATAGTGATGGGGGTATTTTCGAAACCTCAAACATGGGAAAACGATTTGAACAAAATTTAATGAGTGTCCCTGCACCTAGATTTCTCCCTGGGCAAAATGAAATCTGCTCGTACGTCTTAATTGGTGATGAAGCATTTGCTTTAAAACCATACCTTATGAGACCATTTCCTTATAAGCAGACTTTAACAGACGTCAGAAAAGAGAAATACAATGTAAGACTTTGTCGAGCTAGAAGGGTCGTGGAAAATGCGTTTGGTATTTTGTCTCAAAAATGGCGAATATTTTACAGGCCATTAGAAACTAAAGTAGATACTACTATTCTAATTGTACGTACGGCATGTGTTTTACATAATTTTTTACGAAGTAAAAGTGGCGATGACAAATATTTTCAATTCTTAGATCCCCCAGAACCCGTGCTTGGAGCTTTTACTGATATAGCAAATGATCCTCGGCGGGCAGCAAGGCTAGCATTTTCTACTCGTGACAAATTCGTAAATTATTTTAATTCTGATATGCCTATTTTTTGTAGACTGTAAATTATTTAACAAGTTAATAAAAAATATTAGGTACAAACCATTTGTATTTAATTCTTTTCCTATTTCCATCCAAATCTTGTCTTTCTTTCTCACGTTCCTGTATTCATAGTTCCACAAATCATACAAACAAGGATACTTTTTCACTATTTCTATCAATAATTCCGTTTTTGCCATTGCGAATTTTTGAAGAACGGCGTCAAAAACGCGGTCAAAGGCGAACTGAAATACGCCGCGATAAAAACGCTGGAACAATCGCATTCGCTTCGCACAAGTCTGAGCCTGTCCGTAAACCGCCGCGTTTTAATCTGATCGCGAATTCATCGCCGCGAAATTTTCGCAGCCAAAGCGAATATTTCGCGCCGGTTTGTGGGATGCTTTATACTTATTAAGAATCGCTTTTTATTTTGCTAATGTTGTTTGTTTCAGTTTTTCGTTTTTCATTAATTAATATATATTATAAATTTTCCACTTTTCATACTTTTCCCTAAATGCGGATCCCAATCCGGCAACACCGCAGGCAAGAGCCTCTCATACATAACATTAGCACAGACGTCAACGTCATATAGCAGATGGCGGTGGAAATAATGGTGAAAATAACTGCTAAAAATACAGTCTTGGGAAAAAATGTTCTAGACAAACGTGCTTCATTCACACTTTTTGTCATTTAAAATAATCTATCGGAATGCCCTCTTTAAGTTTCGAGTGAAAAAACAGCGAAATTCGAAGTTCTACAAGACGCAACAGTACCAGTATTTTAATAATTTCTTAATATAATAAGGTAAAAAAGTTAAAACTCTTAATTTTTATTTCTCAAGTATTGTAATCCCGAACATTTTCGAAAATGATATATCATGTTTTTTGGATTTTATATGACATGTGCATCACGAAAAACCATGTCATCACTCATCTGCATCTGTCGGTTTGTCCGTTAATCCTGTAATCGCCTATAACTTGAGAAGTAGGTACCTACCGCTTGGATTTTGATGAAATTTTTACACAATGTTAATACTATGCCGAGGACGGAAAATCTTTGTCGTTTTTGAAAATAGGTCCAGTTGCGGTCGAGAACAAAGGCAAAAAACAAAAAACATAAATCGCTCACATGTTTTCGACGCTTTGGAGAAAAATTTAGAGGGAAAAAGTTGGGGCTGGGTCACACGTGAAACTAACAAAACTTATAGTATTATTATAATATTGGTAGCCCACGAATAGATCTTTTCAAATAGACCAAGTTTGTTAAAATGGGCTCAGCCGTTTCGAAGATGTAGAGTGTTTTCTACGGAAACCTTTCAATATTCCTCCACCACTTTATTTTTAGAAACACAGCAAAAAATGTCAATCAAAAAAGTACGCATTGTCTTTTAAAGGTATTTTTTTGATAGGTCAATATAGCGAAATTCATAGAAGCATCACTTTTTTAGATTCAAGATTGCAGTTACGGCCCCTATCGGACATTGAAAATATTTTCCAGGTTTTTCTCTTGGCCTTTTTAGTGAGAACTTTTTTTGCCGCAAGCCTCTACGATGGGTAGGTTCTCAGATACAGTATCTTCTGATACTTATTCATCACTGATACTACAATACTTTTTGAATATTTGCGTTTGCAAGTTTTTCTTCGCTGAAGATTATAAAAAATCATCTTCGTTTTATAATAAACCAAGAACAATTGGTTAACTTATCCATGTTTTCCAATGAAAGGTGTTCTGGATTAAGTTGACTGAAGCTTTTTATATTTGAAATATATCTGAGTCAACACTCACTTTCGTAGAGTGCATCGGCTTTTGTTCTTCATTCTTCACTAATGGCTTAGGATTATGAAGATTCAAATATTAGACGCGAAAACTTTGAAGTGGTTCCTGATAGATTCGGGATAAAATAAACTAAAGGTTAATGAACGAATAGTGACAAAAGGAGGCATTCAAAAGAAATAGATGTTTTATTAAGTTACTGAAAAGTTTAACAAAACGGAGCATGAAAACATCTCTAATAGATCTGTCTTTCTAAATGAAAAAAAACTCTGAAAATCTGATATTATTTGAAGAATATAAATATACGTATACATGAGTTTGTTTTGTTTATTATTTATTAATAAATGGAGGCCTCATTTAGTTTTTCCGTCCCAAGTCTCCGATGGGCTGAGTTCGCCACTGGTGGCGTTACATATTATTTCAAGGCGCAGCAAAATCTTCAAAGTTTATTTTTTATATAATTGAGTAGTAGTAGTCTCAAAATGAAAGTTCAAAGAAGACCTAGCAATGAGTTTCGCTTTCTTCAAGCAAAGTCATTATTTTACATTGTTTCGAAATCCATTTAACAACAAATTTTGATCAACATTGTAAGTAATTAAATGTAATGTTGACTATATAGTTACTAACCAATTGGAGCCTCGTATGATGGTGTCAATGGGAAATAATTAATTCATTTAGATCGTGATGAACTAATTACCTTCAACGTAATATTGCTGTTTTTTACACCTTGTATGATTATTGCTCAACTATAATATTCTTGGAAAACATAATCACCGAGCTGAACTCTTGCTAGACATTAATAATATAGCAATCCATATATGTATGATTCGATGCTTGTTCCGCCATTTTTGAAATGTAGTAATTCTGATAACAGATTCGTAATTCCCGGCACGAAAATCTTAGAATATAAATTTGCAGATAACTTCATCAAGTTTCAGATTTTCGTCTTTTTGAAGATTGATGTGAATAATACTCAAATAAGTGTGAGTGACTGATGTGTTTCTTAAAAACGGTTCATTTTATTGAAATTAAACTAGGATACGTTCTTTTCAGATAAAGTGTTAGGCTTCTTTAAAATATTATTTTTGTGCCATTATTATACAGGGTGGAAAAATCCACAATATGAATAGTTAATCATTTTCCATTGACACTATTATGTGAGACTCCACTACAAAGCTCTTGAACTTTCGTTGAATTGTACAGTTTCATTCACGAGCTGTTTAAGAAAAAAGTTCTAGTGACACCATTTAGGGGCCTGCCTATTTTCTGTGTTCTATGTACATCTTATTCTGGCAGACCCTGTTTGACGGCCTAATAAACTAACTTAAAAGTTTAGTTGAATCAACTGTTGTTTGCAAATATTTGAACATCACGGGTATCTGTTCTCTCTATTTTTTCTTGGCAGTATGTGTTATTTAGGGTGTCCGCAAAGTTGGGGTTTTCCTTTGCAGACACAACTAAGCTTGATATAACAAAGCTAATGTGTGGTGAAACGTGAGCGAACAAGTAAAAAAAAGAAATGAAAAAGTACTCACTGTTCAGTTGAATTGAAATTCGAAATACGGTCCTGTCGTATTTACATCATAGTCGTACGCCGTATAATTGTACGCTGGCGTTGTGGACGTTATCGAGGGATAGGACAGGACCAGCACCTTGTATTGCCGAATACTTTTTTATATTCAGTCTTCATATATCATTCCCAAATATTTTTTGTATTTGAGGAAATTCATTACATTATAGCTGAATTTCTTATTGATAACTGCTGTCTTATATTTGCTCCTGTTTTCCTAAATAAAATTGTGATATTATTTTATACCCTTGCAACAAATTGAAATTATAGGGATGTTGACCTAAAAGAATGTAGACAGGTTGTCCATGAGGCAATTAAGAAAGGCATCAATTACATCGATACAGGTCCTTGGTATGGTCATGGACAGGCTGAGGAAATATTGGGAAAGGTGAGATTGTTTGGGGTGTTATAGGAGTATGAAATTTTTAATGAAATGAAACATTGAGATATTATAAAGACTTTACTTGTAAGTATTGTTAGGCTAACGTGAAAATAGCAGTAACAAATTTCAAGATGGCGGCTGAGCATCATCTTGTACCTTTTTTTAATAGAATGAAGGATCGTGTGATATGGTATTTTGAAGATCCTTATGAGTACTTTACAATTCTACAATCTAAAATCACTGTGTCGCAAAATTGCTTAGTGGAAAGATGTCAAAGCTAAAGCGTTTTCGTATATTGAATCGCGTATAAGTCAACAACTAATCATCAACAAGCTGTTTGAAAAAATGACAGATTTTGATATATTATTTCAAATTAAGTGTTTCATATTTTATTACATATTACGATGGACCCTTCCAAAAGAAGAAGATTGATACGCTCAACTTTGACAGCCTGCCAGTACGACATTTGCAAAAAAGTTGATTTTATATTTTCGGGTTATAAGAATCTTCAAAATGATGTATCACATGATTCCCATTCCATTTAAAACATTTTTCTAAAATTTATACTCCAACTACCACGAAGGCCTAAGGCCTAAACACCCATTGGGTACCGTGGGGCTATGGGGGATACAGGGGAAAGGAGGGACGCCACACGGACTCTGGCGAGGGAAGACGTGTGCTTGCAACATGCACACATTCTGGCTCCGCCTACGAGATCCGCCGGGTGGTACCTCCGCGTTCGACAGTCAGACCGTCTACCATCTACGGACACTCACAACATCCATAGCCAAGAGAAAAATTTCCTCCTGATCAGGAGACCGAAGAGTCTACTACTGCGGCCACCCAGCCGCCATCTTGAAATTTTGAACTAACAATTTGAAGCTAAAATATAGTATTTGTGCATTAATTTTATCAGTACGAATTCCAGCTTGACGCGTTCAAAAAATAAGTAGAGGCGTCCTTTTTGAAAAGCACTCTATGATACTTGGCCCAATAGATGCGTAATTTTATTTACCTCATTGTTTTGAAAGTGTGTGGATCAACGTATATTTTTTAGTGTTTGGAGGGAATTCCAAGGAAAGCATACTACCTGGCTACAAAGGTGGGAAGATATGAGAAGGATCCATCGTTGATGTTTGATTTTTCTGCAGAAAAGTCAAAACGTAGTATTGAAGACTCATTGAGCAGACTAGGGACTGACTATGTTGATGTGATTCAAGTGAGTTTTAGGAGAGGACCTAATTTCTTTTTAGAGCTATCTGTATTTGCGTCTACGAGTATAATGACGTGTACAAAAACCCTTGTTCCATTAATATTAAAAACATTTTTGGCGATCCTTATGTATTTATTCAAGGACGTATCTTTGCATCTGCTAGAAAACATTTTCTGGTTCATTTTTTGCATAATCTTATTCGAAAAGGACCTCTTTTGATGAATCTGCATGATGCCAGGTCTAAAGTTTCATCAAAACGTATTTAACCAATTTTTTATAAACAAATTCCAATAATTGTTTTTGTTTTTTTCAAGTTTTTGGAGTCATTCTGAACACAAAGGCTGATAGTTTATTTAATTTAATATTTGCGAACAATAGTGCGAAATTTATCATTTTCAGTCCCAAACAATCTTGGTGAAATTCCTAAATATTTTTCAAACATCCATTAAGAAAATACTAAAGCATTTTAAATGATTTTTATTGAAAACCTGTGTTTCTTATTGTTAATCGAGCGCTCGTATAGATATTCACGAGGTCTTTAAATTAAGTGATGAGATTGTCAACGCCGCATTCGATATGGCAACACTGGAAGCGCCGGGCTTGGAGGGAAAGCATTAGAACATGTGATCCACCTTCAATACAAGTTTGATCTCGCTCGAGTCATTTGGTTGTCTGTATAGCGATTTTTTTTTGTGAAATAGTTTTTTCTCTTTCGATCTAAAAATGAGTGACATCAATTTCAAGCAACGGTATGCTAACAAGTTTTGCTTCAGACTTGGGCACAGTGCGACGGAAACTCTTGCTAAACTTCAGCAGGCCTACGGAGAGAGTGATTTGCCACGGTTTTCGGTGATTTAAGGCATTTTCAGAAGGAAGAGAGTCGATTGACGATGAACCACGAAGCGGAAGGCCTTCATTTTCAAGAACCGATGAAAATATCGACAGAATCCGGGATCTTGTGCATTCAGATCGTCGGTTGATCGGAGAATTGACTCACAAAAAAAAAACAACAACTGTGCGTCGCATCACGATAATGCTCCTTGTCACACAGCAGTGTCAGTAAACGAGTTTTTGGTCAGTAAAAACATTCCTATGGCTCGTCAGCCTCCTTATTCGCCTGATTTCAGTCCTGGTGACCGAAGTTGAAAAATCACCTCAAGGGAACTGATTTTGGGATAGTCGAAAATATGCAATCGGCTGCAACCGACCAGCTGAAGGCTATTATAGTATTGGAGCTCCAGCACTGATCTGAGGAGTGGAAGAACCGCCTCCAGAGCTGTGTGGCTTCAGAAGGAAGTTATGTTGAGGGTCGCAATATAAAGTTGTGATTATATTTGAATAAAGGAATTGAAAAAAGGTCAGCCTTATTACCTAATTTACAGACTTTGTATATTCTGCCTGACCTCGAGAGAGATATACAGGGTTCCTTAATGATATGCGAATATTTAAGGGTGTGAATCTACATGAAAAATTGATGTTAGTTTGCTTTATAAACTATGGTCCAAAAATGTTTCCTTACAAAAACTCTGGGTGTTGAAGTTTGAGGAAAAAAAATGGAAATTTTATTAATATTTTCAGAACCGCTTCAGATATTTCACTGATATTTAGTACGAAGTGAAAGTTAATAAAATCTTGTTAATAATGGTGAATTATTCAAATGCAGAAATGGTGGAAATGCATTACGTATTTGGCCTTGCAGACGGTAATGGTGAGCAAGCCAGACGGATTTATCACCAGAGATATCCCGATCGTGCTTTGCCAGATAGTCGAACCTTTTCTAATATTCATCGTCATCATGTTGAAACTGGTTCTGTCCGGAAAGAAACATCTGTAGGTAGACCTCTAAGTGTGAGAACACCTGAAATTGAGGAAGCATGCTGCACGAAGTCGAATAACATCCTGAAACGAGTACGAGGTAGATCGCTAAACAGTTACATATTTGCCATCAAATTGTTTGGAGAATTTTAGTCGATTTTTTGTTATATCTCTACCATATTTTTAGAGTACAGGCATTACTTCCCATTGATTTTACAAGACGTGTGACCTTTTGTCAGTGGTATCTTCAAAAAATTACACAAAATCCGCAATTTGAATCAATGATTCTGTTCACGGACGAAGCTAATTTTTTTCGAAATGCCTTTTAGAATTTCCAGAATAATCATTTGTGGGCAGAAGAAAATCCCTATGCCGTAACCGAAACTAATTTCCAACAACAATTTTCGGTTAAGGTATGGGCAGGAATTATTGGCAACCACTTTATTGGCCCATTCTTCTTGCCGGGACGACTTGACGGACACACTTACCTCAATTTTCGTCAACAACAGTTGCCTTTGCTGCTTGATGATGTTCCGTTGTTTTAAATTGAACGGGGAATTCAAAAATAATTTTTATTTGGAAAAAAACCATTGGCGTACCATTTTTTTCTTAAAAAATATCGAAGTCAATACCCGCACGCACGCCACTGTTAAAGCAAATATTATTTTTGCATTGAAAAATATGCAACTTCATTAACTTTCACTACGTACTAAATATCAGTGAAATATCCGAAGCGGTTCTGCAAATATTAATTAATCTCCATTTTTTCCTAAAACTTCAACACCCCGAGTTTTTGTAAGGAAACATTTTTGGACCATAGCTTATAAAGCAAACTAACATTAATATTTCATGTAGATTCACACCATTAAATATCCGTATACCCGTAGTATAGGACGTAAGCTGCAACTTAAGAGAAAAGTTGAAAACATTTTTCGTTCACAGTGACCCAAAAAATCTAAAAAAATTGCCCAGAGCAAAAAAAAGATTTTTGAAATTTGTTTAAAAAAATGTTCAAACAATTTTGAGCCTTTCAACATGCAGATTCCTTATAAGAAATAAGATTATGTCAAAAATCAGAATCAGAACATATTTCCGAGCGGATGTGAAGATACTTTGTGGACGAATTGTAGTTCAACTCTGAAATGAAATAAGCTAACTATTTAAGAAAGCGATTTGCGTTTTTTAATCGTTGTTCACATTTCACATCATGAACGAAAAATATCGTCGTTAATGCTGTTGTCGGTAATTTGGGTCACGCAAAATTTTTATTGCAATATTTAGAGCTCCTGTACTTTTAAAATGGAAAGGATACATTAATTAGAAATATACTTTGATACTCGCGTTCTTGACAAAAGTGTTCTACAACGGTGCAAAAAAATCAATTTTAGAGACGTGATCCTCTAAAGAGGAGACTCGTAGGACATTTATTGAAATAAGATAGCATTCTAGGCACATAATAATACGACAGCCGAGCCGTATATTATAAGAGTGACGACAGCAAGGTGTCAGTTGGAACTGTATCCCAGTTCGCATCACTATGGTCGCTATACTATAACTATCTAAAACTGTAATGACTCATCGATGTTCACGTGAACATCACTTAACTACCAGTAGTCGGCTGTTCATAGGCGGGGTATGAATGTTTAACATGGGTGAACTAGATTTGTCACATGCTTAATAAAGAGTGGTTTGAAACATATTGCAAGTCAAAAATTTGGGAATTACCTTTATTCATCGTCGCTTCCACTTACATCTGACAGTAATAAACTGTCGCTATCGCTTTCCTCGTTGAAATTGACTATGACTGGCTCTATGATGGTGTCGATGTGGTGGTCAAGCTGCCACATTTTTGTTTCTTCCTTCACAACATGACGGATAGCATTCTGCCAAGCTTCGGGCGTTACTAGCTGTATGGAAGTCTCAAGTAAAACCTTAACGTCTGGTAATTTGAAGGTTGTGTTATGGCGCGCAATATAACCCTTCACTTGAGCCCAGATGAGCTCTATTGGGTTCAGTTCACAGTGGTAGGGCGGTAACCGCAGCACAGTGACACCACATTGACGGGCCATCTCATCAGTAACGTAACTAATGTTCGCAGGTTTATGGTGTTTAATTTTTTCATACAATTCCGCTTTCACACATGAAACGGCAAACGGGATTCCTGTTTCGCGCAACCATTGCTGCATGTCACTTTTTCGAGATCCCATAGTCGGTACACGTTCGCCTCGACGACTATGGTAGGAAGCATTATCCATGACGATCACAGAGTTGGGCTCAACTCGCTGAAGCACCCCTTGAAACCAGCTATCGAAGCAGCTGGCATTCATTTCGTCATGGTAATCACCTCCTTTCTTAGAGACGAAAATCAAGTCACACTCTTCTAAAAAGCCACTATCGCTACCAATATGAGTTACGATCAATCTTTGACCTTTCCCTGACGGTCCACGAAGACCTGTTGACAAACCTTCAATGCTTGCTTGTCGGTTACTCACTATGTTTTTGTCTATCCAGGTTTTTTTAACTGTGTGACCTGCATCTACCCATGTCTCGTCCAAATAATAGATTTTTCTGCTTTGTCGCCTATATTCAATCATTTCGCGTAGGTATTTTCGACGCCAGGCGACTATTTCAGGTCTCTCTATCAATACTGACTTCCGATTACGCGTTTCGTAACGAAAATTAATTTCGTGCAGGGATTTCCTCATTACCTCGACGCTCATTTGGGGTATAATTTCATTTTCCTTGATCGCTGCATGTACAGCCTTGAGGGTTGGTATCTCATTCCTAAAGAAGCATGAATGTACGGTTCGCCTTGACGCCATTTTGCTATCGTCATCCAATTTAACGGCCTTTCGTCCCTTCAAATTAAACTTTAGATCAATAGTAGCTCCAGTTTTCTTCTTTTCATGTACCACCCTGCGAATGGTCCACTCTGGAACGCCTGTCATACTTTCACAACGCGCGAGTGCATCTCCCTGCGACATAGTTCTGTTCAGATAATTGAACACGTTGAGCACGATTTCTTTCGCGTCCCTCTTCAGTGCTTTACTCGTGCCATTTGTACTCTCCATGGTTAAGTATAACCAAAACAGTAACCACAGAAACCACAACAATAACAATCACACAACAATTCTTATAAAAACACAATATGCGATCGCTCAACGAAACACGTTCCAATTGCCGACGCCTATGAGTCTGCCGGTCGAGGCGCGTCTTTGATTTCATCGGTTCTATCGGCGGAGAACAATCAGCCATTATTTCCATCTCTGTCTGTGCTGTTGACCACCGCAAAGCCACAGAAACGACATATGTCGTACGCTATACGGCTGTACTGGAAGGAAGCCGGGATCGAGCTCTGATCACGTGTTGATCACGCGTATGAGTCATTATAGTTTTAAATAGTTGTAGTATAGATGTCACCGATTTCGGAAATACGGTCTACTCGCCATTGAACAAACTAGTAATGCCTGTGGTCAGATGAACGAGAGCTATATTACTAGTTCACTAGGTGTTTACTTAATAATAATAATAACCTCTATGGAATATCTTCAGGTATTTATTTATAAGCGAGGTTCCGTCACATCTTTTATTCTTGTAGGTACACGACATTGAATTTGCTCCAAGTCTAGACCTCATTTTGAATGAAACTTTGCCTGCAGTGCAAGGCATAGTGAATGAAGGTAAGGCAAAATACATTGGGTTAACTGGCTATCCAGTATCAACGCTCTGGGAATGCATCGAAAGAAGTCATGTGCCCATCAACATGCTTCTATCCTATTGCAGATTGACGATGATAGATGATACTTTGACAAAATTTATACCCAGGTTACAGGTGAATATTGTTGTACAGGGTGGTCCATAAGTCCTTTGAAATTTCAAATTTGAATAAAATTTAACGGGTGAGCGTGAGCGGCGCGGGCGAGGTGGGGGCAGTATCTTCAGTGTCTGGGAATTCAGTCGCCATGGAGTGTTTCACTGGAGCGGATCGTGCTTTTTGTGTGCGCGCGTTTTATCAAAATAATGATTCGGCAACCATTGCGCGGCGTAAATATCGAGAATACCATAATTTACACAATTTTACAAAGTGTCCAACAGCTCAAACGATTAAGAACTGGGTTGCTAAGTTCGAAGAGACTGGTTCGACGTTAGATAAACAGCGGTGGGGTCGATCAAGGACAACTCGTATTGAAGAAAACATCAACATTGTGGCACAGTCTATTCGTCAAAATCCTACCCAGTCTACTCGTAAGCGTTCCAGTGCACTAAACGTACCCAGAACATCTTTACAGCGGATTTTAAGGAAAGATTTACATCTGCACGCTTACAAAATTCAGTTAGTGCAGGAATTAAAAGATAATGACGCTATTCAGAGACTAAACTTTGCGAATGAAATGATGAATCGATTTTCTTCGCTCAATAATGTGTTGTTCTCGGACGAGGCTCACTTCCATTTAAACGGGCATGTAAATAAACAAAATTGCCGTTATTGGAGCCCCGAAAATCCAAGGCGTAAGCATCAGAAGCCCTTACACAGCCCTAAAGTTACAGTTTGGGCTGCTATGTCAGTGCATGGCATCGTAGGCCCTTATTTTTTTGAGGACGACAGAGGTCGCGCATTAACTGTTACTTCGGAGCGGTATGTAGCAATGATAGAAGAGTTTTTGACACCAGCGTTGCAGAATTTTCCAGGCTATAATACGCAGACCTGGTTTCATCCGGACGGAGCAACTGCCCACACCTCCAACACTTCTATGCCCTTCGACTGTCAACTTTTTCCCAGCAAAGTAATTTCTCGAAGAGGAGACATTTCCTGGCCACCACGTAGTCCAGATTTGACCCCAATGGACTTCTTTTTATGGGGCTACCTCAAGAGCAAAGTGTACGACCCCACTCCGCGACCAGTTGATGTCCTGAAAGAAAATATCCGAAGAGAAATGGCAAGCATTACAGTGTTGACTTGCCGCGCAGTTATCGACAATTTTAGACGTCGTTTATATGAGTGCCGTGATCGTAATGGATTGCATTTAGACGATGTGATTTTTAAAACATAATTCCCATTCAATAAAGATGATAACAAAATATAATAATTCTTCATAATGTAACTAGTTTGGTTTTATTCCTTTTTTCCAGCTCAAAGGACTTATGGGCCACCCTGTATAATACGATGTCTGATAAACTTTAGAGATTTACATCCTGCAATCCGCTTCTATCGGTTCTGCAAAATTATATACATTATATATTGTTGAGGGATGTATACAGAGTTTCAAATTTAAATTCTTGCAATTGTATCTAATAGTGTTAAGTAGCTGGACGAAATTTTTGAAAATGTTCGGTGATGATAAGATGATTATTGGTTAGTCACTCAGTTTTAATAGGTTGAATCATCTCCAGGGAAAGAACGTGGGGATAGTGAACGCAGCTGCGCAATCCATGGGTCTGTTGCGTAATGCCGAACCACCTGACTGGCACCCCGCAGGAGAAGAAATAAAAACTGTTTGCTCAGAAGCCAGACAGTATTGCAAGGTATGTAATTCATGAAGTCTATCGTGGTTCTAATTTTGCAAACTGTACCAGCTCCCGCCCATGCTTCAAGATATATTTAGCAATGCATTTGAATAAGTTAGGAGCCTTGCTAAGGTCAACTTTATGCTAAGTTGAATCTCACCCTCAATGTTTTTGTTGTGCCAGTTACACTGAACACTTGAGTGGAACTTAGACAGTTGGACTAAGTCGGAGAATTTCTCTGCTTAAGGTGGGTTTTCCAAACGTAAAATATCAACTTGCCAGTCTAACACTTTTACGATTTGACCTAGTGAGCACTGTCTGTCAAGGTCCTGGTAAATTAAAAATGATGCGATTATGGAATGTTCTTAAAAGCTCTTCATTGAGTTATAAAAAGCTCGCGTAATCGTAATTTCCTGTAGTTAATCATCAAAAACAACAATCAGGTTCATTGTTCGAATGGCTTTTAGGGATGCTTTTAAACTGAGCTTCTATTCGACATTGTCTGTCAGAGCGGTCCCTGGGACCTTTGCTCTTGGAAGAGCGAAAGGAAGGATCGCTATCAAAAAGGGGGAAGTGCGTCAGTTTGAGAAATGCCTCGACGTTGTTAACTAGTACTTGGGAATTTTATTTTGTTTCAAAAAGTAATTTAAATAATGGTTGTTGTAGGAAAATTGTAATTTTGGTTGGCCATAAAATCGCACGATTTAATTTTGTTCACAGTGCGAGCCGCGGTCTTGTCTGCTTGCGGCTTGCTCGACTGTGTCGTCTACTGACTCCGTAACAAAGGTTTGTTATGCGATTCCGCCAGAGAATAACGTAGCGGGCCTGCTTAACGTAGTCCCTTGGTAAGGGATGTCGAGGTCTCTACGAAGGTTTAGGGATTGTACGTAAGGTTCTGTTTTACGATGCGTTTTTGCAAAAAAACACCAAGCGGCACATGCATGAGTGATCCAGCCATTCAACCATCTTGTATGATCGAACTTTCTCGATCAAACTTAATTTTGTGTTTTTAAATACCATTAGGTACAGTAATTTCGAATTTTGTTTTTAACGCTTTAGTGTGCTTCTGCCAGAATGACACCAAGACTCCTAGCAGAATTCTCAAACGGGACACCGCTACGCTTTTTAGTACAGTATTTAGCCTGCATTTTCGAATGGTTAATTTTGATCAGCTACCGATCCACCCATTCCAATACATCGTTCACCGTACTTTCAGTCTTCCCTATGAACCAGAGTATCAGAACACGACTGGACCACCAGGGTTCTGACTATTCGACGCTGTTAAGAATATTTCAAGTTGAGCCGTTATAACTAAGGCGTAATCTATCGGTGCTAAGATTATTACATAAAGTCCTAAACCATCAAATTGATTGCTCCACAATATCAAGAACAAAAACTAATTTTCGCGTCCCTAGGTTAGGTAGCCGGTGTCAGATTTTGTTTTACCCTGACATATTTGTAATACAAACATCTGGTGTAAGTCACCATTAAACTATATGTGTGTTTCGATGCGATTTGCTAATCTTGTGATATTTTTTGTGATGGAGAAAACTATATATTGGTTTGATACCGAGATCCGTATACTTTATCTGAAGTCACTTGAAACACTGTGAAATACCGGGTGCGTTTTATATATCTATATTTAACACGCTCTGTTGCTGCAAAAATCGCCAAATTTCGCAGCAAATAAGCGTATAAGATCAAAGGCAGTTTCACCGATCCAGGTGGAGTAAAGCACGCCTATGCGTGGACATAGCCAATGAGAAAGCGTGTATTTCAGAGCTCCGAACAAGTGCAGGTGGCTACTGAAAATTGAAACAGTTTAGCCAGTGCCGTGTAGCGGTGAATAAACGTGTTTTCTTTAGTCTGTCCGTGTTTTTTCATAGATTTTATTAGTTTGTGTGTTTTTGACTTTTGAATACTCAGTTTACTTGTTGATTTAATTGTTGTGTTGATTGTTCTTGTGTGTCCTAAATATGACTCTTTGGAGACCTTGGGAAAATGCTCCAAGCCACGAGGAGATGGTTGATGAACCTGTGCAGGCAGAATTCTTTCATAAAGATTTAGAGGAACAGACCCAAAGAGTAATCCTAAATATGTATGATTGTCTGAAAAAATATGTATGATTGTCTGAAAAACGAAAATCCAGATTCCTCGCATAATCAAATTTTAAACAGAATTTGTATCCTGACAAAAATCAGTCGGTCTACCATTTATCGGGTTATAAAAAGGGGAGAGTCAACCATTCCTTCCACAGAAAGCGCATAGGGCAAAAATTAAAAAGAATAGACGTGGGTTTTCAGGAAGATATTCGTCGTATAATATACGAATTTTATAAAGAAAATTTGGTGCCCACATTGGAAATGATACGGGATAAATTAAAAGATTATCCTGAAGATTTTTATAATTACGAATGCTTAGACTCACTGCACTGCATTGTAAAACTGTGTGGTTTTCAATACAAAAAATTAGATAAAAGAATGGTGATTATGGAGTCGTCTCGAATCGTTGAATTGCGCCAAGAATTTTTGCACAAAGTTAAAATCTATAGAGAGCAGAAAAGAAATCTGATTTACCTGGATGAAGCGTGGTATGATACCCATGATGTTGTGCAGTACGGCTGGGTTGACGACAGCAACAAGTGCATTTTAAATGCACCATGCAACCGTGGAAAACGAATCATTATTCTCCATGCTGGCAGTGAAAATGGATTTATACCTAATGCCTTGCTGTTATCTGCCAAAAATACCAAAGAATCATGTGCCGACTATCATGAGGACATGACCTCCGACTTATTTGAAAAGTGGATAGAGCAGCAGTTAATACCAAACATTTCCCCAAATTCAGTGATTATTATGGACAATGCGTCATACCATTCCCGACAGAAAAACAAAATTCCGAATACAGGCACAAAAAAATAAGACATTATTGATTTTATGAAGGATAAGGGATTGGAAATACCACAAAAACCAACCAAAGCCATATTATTGGATCTTATTAAAAGACAAAAATTTGAAAAAGAGTATGTTGTTGACAATCTGCTTCAGCAAAATGGCCATGAAGTATTACGTCTACCTCCCTATTACTGCGTTTTTAACCCGATTGAGTTGGTCTGGGCTGCTTTAAAAAAAAGTAAGAAAACATAATCAGACCCCTCAATTAAGTGAATCGCTATTGGCGACAATAAGAGATGCAGTATCTCATATTGCTGCCACAGACCTATGGAAGCAGTGTCCTAGGCATATTATTGAAAAAGAAAATGAATATTGTGTTTTGCCTCCTGTAAATTTCGTTGTAATTCCTCTACAAGATGACTCTAGCGACAGCTCCGAAGGCGAGGATATATAAATACCTATAATGTAAGTCTTTATATACCTTTTTATATACTTACCTGCTATGTAAATATTTGCCTATGTCAAACGTTGGAATTCTGTAATTTTTCCATTTCTTAACATTCAGTCAACATAAATTAAACTCCCAATATAAGTATTTTTTATCCCAAATCAAAAAAATAAGAAGATAGTAAAATCCATTTATTGTGATATAAAAACATTATTATTATCTTTCTAAATAAATGACCGCACGCCTATGATACGTCATGAAATTACAAAGGACGCGCCGACCAAAGGTTTTTATGCTATTTCAAGTGACTTCAGATAAAGTATACCTTGGTGTGATTCAAAATCAATATATTGAGAACTGTTTTCACATTTCAAATACTGGCATAATTGTATACATTTATTTGTGTTTTTCTTTTTTTATGTTCCGCTGTTGTTAAACTATTGATCTATTTTCGTAGTTGGTATATTTTTTGTCATTGGGTGTAACCTATTGGGAATTATAAATAAATAAAGATGGACTTCACAGTTCATGTGACAAGGGACATCATGAATAGAAACCGAATAAAATAGAGATCCGAGAACCGAACCTTGAGATTCAACGTCAACGCGAAATAATTTCCAGATTGAAAATAGGAGGAGATAATTCTCAAAAGTAAATTCATGCGTACATCCCATGAAAAATGTTGATTTGCTTGGTTAGCTGTGTAATTTTGTTAGCAAACCGAAAAAGAAGTGGAATGAACGCCGATGACTAACCTATTTTAACACTTTGAAATTATCAATCATTTTCTATCTCAGCTTTATCTTAACAACACGTCAACAAGGTTTTCAAACCGGGCAAAGCAAGCACGAATCATTTAACCTCATGAAACAGTATTTGATGTATCACTTGATCAAGAGCGGGCCATATTTTGGTTATGATGGAAAAAATTGGCGGCCGCTCCGGTAGCGCACAAACTGATCCTTTGCGTTCAACAGAAAATAAGTGTCGCTACAGTAGCACTTCGTGCGACGCACGGGACCATTGATGGTGACGTGATTAACAATCTATCTAAAAGGCTGATATTTCTCAAGAACACAATCATTTGAAAATATAATTTATTGCCGAGAATCGATGCCAGTGGTTTAAGTAACGAGTACTACCTATAGATGATTATCTTTATTAAACTTGATAAAACACGTTTGAGATTATCGTACTAATGAAAATATCTCATCCAATTTTTATCAGGACAAAGGTGTTGAATTAGGGAAGCTTGCGTTATACTACAGCTTGCAACATAAAGGAACTGCCACTGTACTTGTGGGAATGAATAACAGGCAGTTGCTAGACTTTAACCTACAGGTGCTTCATGAGGGGTTATCTCCAAACGAGCTGGCTGCTTATAATCACGTATTGAAGTAAGATATAATCTACTATAACTATGCATTTCTTTTGAGCAACCACTGTATTAAAACAAAATTGAATCATATAATTTGTTCAAGTTTGGTAATGTTAAGGTATATCGATAAACTGATCACTATATTTTCTTTTTCTTCAAAGTTTTCCGACTAGAGTCTCTACAAGTCCTCCAACAGCAATATCTCATTTTCCATTTTTCGATATCATCAACATTAAACATACACATGTTAACCTTGGGCTATATGAATAGCGCTTAGATCATATAGCTGTCAGTTGTGATAGCTCCTACATACATATAGACGGAAACCCATTTTCTATTTTGAGGATGTTATTTTAATAGATATCTCGTTTTCTAGAGCTACAGAGAACTCATACATTTTTTTATCAAGCAGATATTTGAAAACAGTCTTTTTACCCGTCAACTGATCAACATTGGAAATGGAAAAAATAATGACATTAAAAAAATAAGATATATAATTCACAAATTATAATTTATATATACTAAGTGACATATAAATCCGAACACCCAGTTTAAATGCTTTTATTTTAATAAAAGTTGGTGAATGTATTTATCTTACTGTAAATAACAAGTGAAAAAATTTTCAGCCTTATCAGTTGGACATTCCGGTTTTTATACTGCTTTTTTTTAATTCACTAACGCTCTAAAAATGAATATTTCAGCCGCAGTAAAGAATCAACGTTGGCGGATTTTGGTTCTTGACATCCTTTACGATCGGTCACGATGCCTAGAGTACGGAGACCTGTACGATTTCGTCAACTTAGTGAGTTTGATAGGGGCCGTATAGTGGGACTTCGGGAAGCTGGACTTTCTTTTCGGGCAATTGCAGTTAGAGTGCAAAGAAGTGTAGACACTGTGGTTAGGTGTTATCAGGCATGGCTTCGAGAAGGTCGCACGCAAAGAGCAAGGGGCACTGGACGCCGCCGTAGAACAACAGACCGTGAAGATCGCCGCCTAAGATTATTGGCCTTAAGGGACCGTTTCTCCACTACCAGGTCCATTGCAAATGAATGGTTTGCAGAACACGGAAGACCTATTGGCATGCGAAGTGTTTACCGACGAATGAGAAGTTTTGGCTTGTTTTCACACCGGCCACACCGGGTCCTCCCTTTAACTCGAGAACACCGACGTAATCCCCTTGAGTGGTGCAGACAACGGTCACTCTGGGATCAGGAATGGAACAGTATTGTCTTTAGTGACGAGTCTCGATTTTGTTTAGGCATGCACGAAGGTCGTGCCAGGGTTAGAAGGCGACGTGGTGAAAGGAGGAATCCACAGTTTTTTGTTGAAAGACATGTTCATCACACTGTTGGAGTTATGGTTTGGGGTGCTATAGCTTATGGTTCCAGGTCACCTTTAATCTTCATCAGAGGTAACATGAACGCGCAGCGTTATATCCACGAAGTTCTAGAACCCCATCTTTTACCCTATCTTGACACCCTGGCAGATCCAACTTTCCAACAAGATAATGCCCGACCACATGTTGAAAGAGTCACAATAGAATTCTTTCAACATAATGATGTCACATTGTTACCATGGCCACCAAGATCTCCCGACTTATCCCCAATTGAGCACGTGTGGGATATGATGGGTAGGAGATTGCTCAATTTGCAACGTCCTCCTCAGACTCTAGAAGCACTTCGAGAGGAGTTGGTGGTTGCTGGAATGAGATACCACAGGAGGACATTGACCACCTGATCAGAAGCATGCCTAGGCGCGTTGGAGAATGCGTAGCACATCAGGGTGCATCCACACATTATTAAAGGTCAAAGGGCTTTAAAGCATTTTGAAATTTTTATCATTTACTTATTATGCTTCATTAAGTACTTATACAAAATTTTATTAAAATAAAAACATTTAAACTGGGTGTTCGGATTTATATGTCACTTAGTATAATAACAGAAATTATTTATAAAGATGCATAAATCTTTAGATATGCCATTGATTCTTACCTTGTGGAATTGATGTTTGGGGAGGATGAGAGCATACGAAAACCATGAAAGTTATACAAAAAACAATAGCGAATATTATAAGAAAAACAAATTATATCCAACAAATCTCGAATATAATGAACATGTTATTTCTATCAGATATGTTTATGTTACTCAATTTTCTGTGTAAATATTAAAAATTTATAAACACCTTAGTCAGTTTCAGTGGAAATATGAAATTTTTTAGATTCAATTATTTTTTTTTTCAAAAATACACAGTTTGATTCTATTTGAAATTGGAAATTTCCACATAGAGAAAGGACCCCCACTTATTTCTTGGACGGGTCAAGTTAGCAAGCTGAAATCATGCATGATGAAACTACCTCATGAACACAAAATTAAAAAAATAATAGTTGAAGTTTTCAAAATGACTGCAAACTGTCAACGTTGAGTGTTTTTGTACATTTTGCTTATAACTCGACGAGTAACCATCAAAAGCTTTCAGTGTGTTAAATCGATCTTCTTCTTTTGGTAGGGTATATCTGAATATGCAATAAAATATGAAACAATTAAAAAAAATTGACAGATTTTGTAAATTTTTTCAAGTGATATGTTCCTCATTTTATTACATGTTCGGATAGACCTTTTCAAGAGAAGAAAATTGATGTAGCACACTACAGCGTTTTTATGAGTGGTTGTTGAGTTATAAACCATAGAATATAACAAACCGCTCAAATTTGCCAGCCTGCCGGGTCGTCGTTTCCAAAGATGATGACTTTATATTCTGGGATTATGAAGTGTACTGTATAAGGAGCTCCAAAATGATGTATTTCTCTGCCCTCCATTATATTGAAAAAAATTCTGAAATGGTGGCCAGCCGCCATATTGATATGTCCCACAGCCACTTTTATGCCAAAATATAGTATTCCTTCATCAATTTCATTACCCCAACTTTCAGCTTGCTTGACCTACCTACTATTTTTAACTGAATAACATTTAATCACTTATTTTTTATCACACAGAATTTTCGAAAAATTGACAGTAAGACACTGGGAGAACATTGAGGTCGAAAACTACAGAAAATTTATCTCTAGTGAAGCTGGAGGTGGAGGATGTTCCAAATAAACATGTAAACATATAATATTGCTGAATAAACTTAATTTTCTCATTGTTACATTATTATAACCCTTCAATAAAAGTGCACTAAACAGTTTGAAACTTTTTATGCAGACATGTATATATACCATACCTTACACACTACGAATGATTGGGCCACTGATGAGAATCCTTTCATATTTGGACTGCTGGTGACCTTACCAGAAACGAAACCGTTTCCGCGACGGACAGTCTCAGCAAATGGGATGCACTTTTTCACTGTTATCAATCACTTTTTGGTATTGCCGGTATTTTGGGTATTAAGCTCCAATATTGCATGGCTATTGTCGGCGACTTTCATGGTCACTAGGCTGTAGTTCTTGGGTTAAGTGAATTTTGTATGGCTGAAAATGCAAGTCTTTTTTAGAATAGTGCATAATGACGTGCGACGAATACTCAGTTGTTGAGAACGATGTCTTGTAGACGTCTCAGGGCGCTCCACTGCACTTTCACGAGCTCTCTCAATATTTTCCGGGGTACGAACGGTTCGAACACGGCCCGACCTTGGCAAGTGTTTACCTTCACCTGTTTGTTCAAATTTCCGCACCAACTAACGGTGTTGACACTGGGTACATTATTTCGACCGAAATCTTGTCGTAGCTGCCGAATCGTTGCAACAATCGACTCATTATTCCAGAAAAACGTTTTAACAATACGGATGCGTTATGGGATCGTGTAGCGCTCCATAATGAATCGGACACATGTGATTCAAGCAACACTACGGCGCTACGTACTGACATGCGTGTATCAAAAATGGCGCGCAATTTAAATCAGTCAGATATATATTGCTCACCCTGTAGATATTGCAAACGTTTGGTCCCGTATAGCCGTATGTTAGTTGATTTAATCCTAACTGAAAATGGCAGCATAAAATGGCTATACATATGTACACGTATCGGTAATTCTCATAACAACGTACAAATAGCTTCAAGTAGATTGACTCTATACTTCCTACGCCCTCGGGTTTCCAAGAGAAGGAACGAGTCGTTCTAACAGGTGAAATAGAATCGTCACTAGGTAGGTTTAGTTAGGCATAATGAATCCTTGACCTTTTCATATCAAGCTATATAAAGCAAGTTTTCATGGCAGATGTAGGGAAAATATGCGTGACTTATAATATACATATAATAGGAGGATAGCATCACTGATATCAGCAGATTCTTTATAATAGAAGGTTATTCACTGACTCAAAATATGCAACAATTTACAACCATTTACCGCATACAGCTTCCAACTTCTCATTCGTTGGAGTTATGGTTTGGGGTGCTATAGCTTATGGTTCCAGGTCACCTTTAATCTTCATCATCTTTTACCCTATCTTGACACCCTGGCAGATCCAACTTTCCAACAAGATAATGCCCGACCACATGTTGCAAGAGTCACAATAGACTTCTTTCAACATAATGATGTCACATTGTTACCATGGCCACCAAGATCTCCCGACTTATCCCCAATTGAGCACGTGTGGGATATGATGGGTAGGAGATTGCTCAATTTGCTACGTCCTCCTCAGACTCTAGAAGCACTTCGAGAGGAGTTGGTGGTTGCCTGGAATGAGATACCACAGGAGGACATTGACCACCTGATCAGAAGCATGCCTAGACGCGTTGGAGAATGCGTAGCACATCAGGATGCATCCACACATTATTAAAGGTCAAAGGGCTTTAAAGCAGTGCAATCATTTTGAAATTTTTATCATTTACTTATTAAGCTTCATTGAGTACTTATACAAAATTTTATTAAAATAAAACCATTTAAACTGGGTGTTCGGATTTATATGTCACTTAGTATAGATATAGGTACTGTCTCCACTCATAAAATCGAAACAAAGAAATCAGGAGTTACAGAAACATTTATGGCACAGGTCTTATTCGCATACTATCAAGAAAGTAATATTGTATACAAACACTAAATAAATCATTAGCAAGGTTTTTGCATTTCCAAAACAAATACAAATTAATTCACTGTCAATGTCAATAAAATAAAAAAATTGAATTACAGCAGATTGTGGTTTGAAAAGCGTTATAAAGTTCATCCTAAAATGCAGACCCGTACCAGGCCTGTGGGTATGAAAAGGTTGTAGATAGGTTAACTGTTTCAACTCATGCAACCGAATTACTGACCAGATTGGGTAAAAAAATTAACTAATGTTGCATACAATTACTTGAATATCAAGGTATTTTAATTATAAACACGAGCACACTGTTACACATATCAGTTTCTGCATTTTTATAGCTTACCATATCAACACGTGTAGTTTAATCATTGACGGTAAACATGAGCGATATAATGTTTCATGTGGTATGTGGGTTCTGCCACAAACGCTCAAAAAAGTTATCGATATTGTAGCTCTTTTCTGGGTTCTTTTGGGTGTGGATTAAAACACTTTATTTCACAAAAACAACAGTGCTATTTGTCAGAATATCAACACAAAAGTTTACTATTTTCAGTTTAAACATTAGGCTTTCTACAAATATTTTCGTTGGGACATTATGGTCCAAGGTGTACGAGATTTGTAAATTAAGTGATGAGACTGACGACGTAGCGTTCAATCTGGCAACAGTAGAGGCTCCGGGCTTGAAGGGAGACAGGGGACAATGTGATCCTTCAGTACAAGTTTTAACTCGGTCGAGTATTTGGTTGTTCGTAGCGATTTTTTTTGTGAAACATTTATTATGTTCTAAAAACGGATGACATCAATTTCGAGCAACGGTGTGCTATCCGGTTTTGCTTCAGGCTTGGGCACAGTCCAACCGGAGCACTTGATAATCTTCAGCAGATCTACGAAGATAGTGTTCTGTCAAGAGCCCAAATTTTCGGTGTTTTAAGGCATTTTCAGAAGGGAGAGAGTCGATTGAAGATGAAGCATGAAGCGGAAGGTCTTCACCTTCAAGAACTAATTAAAATATCGACGCAGTCCGGGATCTTGTGCGTTCAGGGGCCTGATTCTAAATGAGTTTCAACCGTTGAAATTAATTTCGACGACGACTTGTGACGACATATTTTATTCGCTATGATTTGACATCTGATTATATCGGTCTTCTATATTCAAATTATCGTGAAACTGTCAAAATTATCATAGCGAATCAAGTATATCGTCACGAGGCGCTATCGAAATCAATTTCAAAGGTCGAAACTCATTTGCGATCAGACCACTGATCGTCGGTTGACAGGCAGAATGAACAAAGAGTTTTAACTCACTACCGTTCATCAGATCAAGAATGAATAAACGGGTTCTTGAAAAGTAAAGACATTGCTGTGGCTTCTCAGCCTCATTATTCGCCTGAATTGAGTCCTTGTGTTTTTTCCCTTCCCGAAGTTAAAAAGTCCCCTCGGGAAACTCATTTTGGGATAGTCGAAAAAATTCTGCCTGTAACCAACCAGCTGAAGACTATTCCAGTATTGTTGTTACAGCACAGCTATGAGGAGTGGAAGAACTGTCTACAGTGCTGTGTGGCTTCAGAAGGAAGTTATTTTGAGTGTGACAATATAAAATTGTAATTATATTCTAATAAACAATTAAAAAACCTATGTTTATTCTGTACCTAGCGGAATAAAAATTTCGTTGTATAACTGTTATTTAAGCAAAACATATTTCCGCCAGCGTCATTTAGGGGCCTGTATCTCTGTAGAATATTTTCCAAAAGAAACTTATGACATGACGGAACCAACCTGAATAAAAATTATGGGAGGTCAGTATAATAGGAAAGGATATCAAATTGAAACATGAATACATTACTGATAACGTGAACATATACAGGGTGATCCAGAAAACGCGGAAATATTTCCAAAGTAAAAAGCATATCCAAAGATAACCGACAAAATTCTATATCTATAGGTCCTCAGATGTCTTGTTACCAAGATACAAGGTGTTGCAGATCTATACACCACTGATTAGACTGGACAAGGACAAAAAATGAATATTAGAGTTTAGGATTACTTTCATAATAAACTAAATACACACTTCAATGCAAACTTCACTAAATACTGTGTACGTTCAAAGTATAACTGGTTGAAGTGTTTTACACAGACTTTACCTCAAATAATCATTTTTCTCTTTTGTAAGGACCATTTCTACACACCACTCAGGCGAGAATTTTCTCAAGTGTAGGTACCCTGTTAGTGCTGCATTTACAAAATTTCAAGTTAATATCTTACCATTCTCCGAAGAATTTTAATCGGTTCCGCAATTAAAACTATAACTTTTTGGCCCTAGTTTAGGTTTAGGTTATGTTAGTGTTCACAGGTCTTATTTTCTAAAGTATATAAATGTTTAGTCAACTGTGATCATTTATGTCACACAATACCCCCACAACTAATGTCCGTATGGTAGCAGAGCTCACACCTCACTACCTGGGTCGTGATAGAGCCCGTTGACTCCGCTATTACAACTTTGTTGTTGTGAATTTATGTATGTTCCTCGTGTGTACTATTTTCTCAGGCCAGTAAACAAAAGCTTGACCTCAAAAACACAGACTCGTGCCAGACCCAGACGCGTAAGCAGATGCTATCAGCTTACCCTTGTTATTGAAATACCAATCTATTTTTCTGACATACAAAATGCACACATACCATTATTCCATAGTTTTAGGTTGCATTCAAACGTAAACAAACAGTTGTGTCTCCTCGTGTGAAAATACTCATGTCGTAGTACAGTCATAACATGTACAGTACTCCCATAAAAATGTTAAGGTACTTCGGCGACATATGATTTTGTCTTTAGGGTCCAATTTTACTAAGCGCGTGGAACACAAATTCAACCAATAAGAAGGCGTCTTTGAAGTAGTGGATCTAATGAATATGATCGATTTCGAGTAAAATTCCTCTCAAATCAGAGAAAAATTATAAGATTTGTGTAAGATAGACCCCTAATAATTATACGCCAAAAATCACTTGGGTTTGCGTCACACTTCAATCATGGACACAATGTGATACAATATCTAGATTGATGTGACAACTATAAGATTTGCACTTTATTGAAAGTAACAGTGACTCACTGTTGCTGCACAAAATTCTGCTTGATGAATTCTATGAGGGAATAAAATTACTGAATTCTTGTTCTC